GACTCAAATTAATTTTTTTTTGATATTTTTCAATTTTATTTTGTAAACATGAAGAGGTTTTTTATTTATTTACTAAGTTTTAATTTAATTTCTCTGCCCTCTCTTAATCTTCGTTAAATTAGTCTACATGTATCCATATTTTAATGATTGTCTGCTATGAATTTTTAGTCTTCTGAGAATTTTAAAGCTATTTTTGGTTTTGCTCATGATTTGTTTATCACAACGGCTAAAAGTACGGGATTATAAAAATATTTTTGGTTGCAAGTACCATGAAGGGAGTACGCATGAACTACCTACACTTATTACAATCTAAAATTTTCGAATATCAAAAACTATCTCGTTAGGTATTTAATTACTATTAACCATTAGGTAAAAATATTTATAAAATTTACATAAAATTACAAAGTTTCGTTATTAGATTATAAATAAATAAATTCATACACTGCGAATTTTATGAAATATATTTGTATGTATAACCGAACCAATCCATTTATTATAATTTTATAATAAGAATCATCATGTCAAGTCTTACGTTACAATCACGAATAAGAAGCATTTTATATTACGCGATAGAATCAACAGTGAGGAGTAAAAATATTTACAGCCGTAGTATTAAACATTATCATCAACTAATTAGTAATTAGAATAATAAATACGTTCTCGTTATTATCATTTGTAGATCAGTAGTACGTACAATCACACAATTCTCTCACAAAACAAAAATGAGCGTACTTACTCTTTGACTTCAGTAGGTACCGTGGTGTTCATTGAAGAGTAACAGTTAGGCAACCCATTATACACAAGAAAACGAAAAGAGTTTCGTTTTTCAAAAACTGAAATAACTTATGATAAATTTGAATTAACCAAAGTATGATGAGATGGTCTGATGCTTGATAGATAATAGGTTGCCCCGTTTTTTGTACATATTTATGTGTATCAAAGCCATTTTGTTTAAATTTCATTCAGGGGTGCCATTGCTATCTTCTGTTTGGGTACCGCACGAATCTTCGGCTGAATCGGGGTGAGGTTTTTGTTCTGATTGCATTTTGCAATTGGTACATACGTCTTTGTTATTATTGCCTGTACTAAGGAACATTTTGTGACAACGTTGACACTCTTCTTGTGGATCACCTGAAAAAAAAAAACAACATAAGCAAAGGTTCTATTTAATAACAAAATGTAAATTTGTATTAGGATACTAGGAATTACTGTTTTTGTAGGTCGTAAGCAGCATAAATCAAATTAAAAGACTCGGAATCCTACGTTCAATAAAAAAGAGTGCGGAGTGATTGGGTGTACGGCTTATATTAATTTATTTTTATTAAATTTTTGACAAAACAATACTGTATGAAAATAAATTAAAGGAAAATAAAAATACTGGAATGGAAGGGAAGAAAAAGTAGGGAGAGAGCGAATATAAAGATAGGAGACGAAAAATTAGAAGAAGTGGCCGATTTTAGGTATCTGGGAAGTCAGATAAGTCAGGACGGAAGGAGTAGTAGGGATATAAATTTGAGAATAGCGTAGGGTCGATTTGCCTTCAATAAAAAAAAGTCACCTCTATGTTCGTGAAGGGTTAATTTAGAAATTCGAAAGAAGTTGTTGAAGGTGTATGTTTGGGCAAGGCGCTGTACGGGTGCGAAACATGGACAGTGGGCGCGGCGGAAAAGAAAAAGAAGCGTTCGAAATGTGGTGTTACCGGCGAATGATGAGAATACCGTGGACAGAGAAGGTTAGAAATGAAGAGATATTAGAAAGAATAGGAGAACAGAGGACTCTATGGAAGTCAATAAGAAATAGACGAGATAGGTTAGTAGGACAGAGACATATTAGAGGCAGAAACGGGAGTTAGGAGGGATAAAGGTAGACCTAGATTAGATCACTGTTCACAAATAGTTAAGGATATGGGTTGTTCTAGTTGTAAGGAAATGCGAAGATTAGCTCAGGAAAGGAAAGACTTGAGGTGTGTGTCCAACCAGTCTTAGGACTGACGACCTTACGACAATGACGAAATTTTTATACGAAATAGTTCAGTTTCTTAGCGAATATCTACCTTTTAGTTAGAGGCATATTAGAAGCAGAAACGGGATTTAAGAGGAGTAGAGGTACACCTAGAATAGATTACTTTTTAAAAATAGTTAGCGATGTGGGATGTTTTAAGTTTTAGGGAAATGCGAAGATTAGTTCAGGATAGGAACAGTGGAGATGCGTGTCCAACCAATCTTAAGATTGACGATCTTATTATTATGATATATTATTAGATGTTGATTAAATTAAATATTTATTCAATCTCTTCATTTTTCGTACGATTTTATTGAAAAAATATTGGTAATTTTGAATCAACATGTATTCGCTTTGTTGAGTAGAACCGAGGATGTTCTGAATATTTTACTACTTCCGCCTCTGCGTCTGCCTACATATTTTTATATCGGAAGCTTATTGAAATTTTTTATAGAAATGACGAGATTGAGGATGAGGGCGAATAATTGTTATTTTTTTAAATTATGTTTATACTTTCGATCTCTATTTACTACTGTTTCCGCCTCCGCAAAAAATTGTATTTACGTTTGTTTCCGCTTCTGCGTCTGGTTATAGCACTTCAGTAGTTGGTAAGTATTTCGACTATAATTTGGTCGCAGTTAATAAACGACTATGAAATTACATCTTGTGCGTGTCTTCATTACTTTTCACTTATGATTAGCTTAATTTGTGATGTTTTTGATGGGACAATCATTGAGTCAACCAATGTTGCCTTATTGAGATTCATATCATATTCTTTTCCAATAATTACTCCCATATAGACAAAAAGCGGTTACAACGTGCGTGTGTACTATGATATGAGAATGCAGGTAATAATTAGTTTCGTGATATGAGAGACCTGATGCGGTATAAATTGAGGGGAGAGACCCTGTAGGCTAGAATCGGAGACAGGACTAATGCCTAGTGACTAGACTGGTCCAGGACTAATTCCATATAACCACACGTTGGTTGGCCGGCAACGTAATTGTAACCGGCCACTTCTTTTTAAATAACCGTCATCGGAACGGTGTCATTTAATTTTCCCCTGTGTTGTCCCATTAAACTTATATTAACTTAATGCTGTGATACGGTCTCATTTCATGGCATCGGCAAAGAAACGAAATCATTTTCAGCTACAGGTCTGACGAAGGAAGCTGGCGAGCGGTCGCGCCGGTACTTGCCCATTTATGAGTCACTTGGAATCGATACACAAATAAGCTTTCAGTAGGCGTAAATTATAGTATTAATACAGATAGGACAGTAGCGTACTAAGAAATAATGTAGAAACATAACTTACCAAAAAGAAAAAATAAACCTATTGCTTTCGTTTTATAGTTAGTTTTCACATTCACTATCATCATGGGCATCTCTATCACTGTCACCAACATCAACAATTAGTTCTTCTGTTTGTCTGTCTATTACTTGCTCACTGATACCTATTTTTAAATATTTAATCTACGCCCCTGATAGGAATACTGAAGAATGAGGGCTGCAATCTTTATACCTAAAACTGCCTACTTTTGCCACCGCGCATCCACGCCATTTTAAAATTTCCGCCAGCTTCCAGCGTCAGGCCTGTACCCACTTATACATATAGTTATAAGCAGTGGCGGTTCGTGTGAGTGTTTTGCAAATGTCTACTCTAAGATATATATCGAGAGGTAATTCAATTCTACTATCGTCTATAGAGGCAAACCTGTTTACAGGACCTTCTCCCTGACTAGGGTTGCCACCTTTTCAGGCTTTACGTAAAGTATTTCTCGACTAAAAGGTTAAAAAAAATGTACTCAGCATAAAAATAAAGTATTTTAGTTTTTGTTTTTAAAAACATATTTTTTGTTACACCTAGCAGCCAGTAACAAATTGCTGTCGCTCTTAAATACATTAATAGCCTCTAAACATGGCAAACAAAGATTTAAGTAAACTAAAAGTTCATTTTTAATTAGTTTTATTGAAGCTTTATTCCTGTCGTCCCGCCACTTTGCGTTCATAACAGAGAATACTCTTTCTGTAAATGCTGAAGTGGCCAGAACGGATAGCAAAAGTGACACTACTTTGAACAGATTTGGGAAATCAGGTTGTTCCGTATATATGGCTTGCCATTTTTCTGTACAGTATTATTGATGTAAAAATACTCTGAATTTAGAATAATCGCTTACAAAATTACGATGTTTACTTAAGGCCTTAAATAAAGTATTTTTGCCATTACCATCATAGGGTCTTCAGTTCTAAGACTGATTGGACACGTACCTACACTCTTACCTAATATACGGACGAACTAATCTTCGTATTATTCTAAAACTAGAATATCCCACATCCTTAACTATTTATAATCAGTAATGTAATCTACACCACTTAACTGCTGTTTTTGCTTCTAATATGCTTCTAATTAGCCCTTCATGTCTGAGATTACGTCGCCTATTTCTTATTATGTGGTATTTATAATAAGAAACCTTACCTTCTTCCAAAAATTGAAGCAATTCGTTCAAGGTTTATGCAAAAGAAAAAAACGAAGAAAAAGATTTTGCTTCGAGGGTTTACTTTAAAGTAAAAGGTTTTATATAATTTGTATTTATAAAAAGAAGCATCTGCTCAAAAACTAAAGGATTTGTTTCTAAAAAAAGGAATCTAGGCTCACAACAACTTTTCTCGCTCTTCTTAACTTTTCAGTAGCTGCCCAGGCATCACACAGCTTGTAACGTAAAAATTTATGTATTTGTAGGACTGTTTTTGTCTAAAAATCTATCTAAAAGGACTTATGATAATATAAAGGACTGATATGGTGCATTTACGTACAAGAAAATACTACAAACCAAGACGAACACCACGAGAATCAGATTTTAAAATGTTATTTAAATTTGATTTTAACGACATATTTTGAACGCTTGTAATCTTTTCTACCGCTCTCACCACTCACGTTTCACACTCGTACAAAGACGTGCTCCAGACATATGTATACCTTTAATAGTTTCCGAAATTAATCGTTCGCTAGCATAGAAGTGACTTCTTTTTGTTAAAGGGCGACTTGAACCTGCGGTATCCTTTATAAAAATAAATTTTCAATGGAAAACACCGATTGAAAAATAAAAACGCATCAATGAGCTGGATTGGATGCAGTTCATTGGCCCGTCCAATTAGCGGTTTTTTGCTAGCAATTTTATGACTTTATGTTACATAGTTATTTAATAATGATAAAATGATATTTTGGGAAAAATTAATGTCCAATGGATAACAAAACTCGTAAAAAGGCTATTTATAAGTTTTGGTGGATGCTCCAGACACCTCCTTTGAAAGCTTCATTAGAAATAAATCATCAACAACGATATCTACCTACTAGGTCACAGAATTGTCAAAACTAAAGTATATATTTCTAAAAATACTTATTAATACCAATACTTTAAGAAAGTTTTTACTTTTAGTAGCGGTTAATATTTTAATAATTATCAAACATGAATGTAAAATAAACTTCATTTCTTACTACCTCCTCAAGTTAATGAGTAAAAATTTGTTGTTGCTGTCATACCATCGCCGGGAATCGAACCTGCTTTTGATTTATAAGTGCCCTATTTTTGGCTACTTTGGCTACGTTTAAATCAGTAGTGTACCCAGGATTGTTGTTTCAACTTCTTGACTATTTTCTATACTTGTTATGTATCACTTCCGCCTCTTTAATTCGTTATTGACCTTAGGAGGTGTATTTACCTTTATGGAAAAGAGCAAAAGCTACGTATTATGTGATTATATGGCTATTAGCCTTTTTTTCTTGTACTTTGTACATACATACAGTATTACAGTTGTATGTGCTTCATTCATGAATCGATAATGATACGTTGTTTTTCTTTCCTGTTTTCTCTCGGGTTTTTCTTTTTTTCTTTATTTAGTTTCCTATATCTGGGGAAATTATACGGATTCTTCGAATGCTGTAATTCACACTATAGCCATATCCATATTTTAATGCAACTCTGCGTTTTACACACGCAACGACCGGTAATTACCACCGCGTTCGTGTGTTTTTACAACTAGTTTGAATAATGTTCTAATTAACCGGTTAGTTGCTTCTGATGACTCCGAAAGAACGTCGTTTATTAAAACAGAATTTGCCCTCAGGACACGGGTGAGATCTAGATAGGTAAAAACATATAATACTTTCGTTCTTTTTTTTTCTTTTCCTTGTATCCAGAGGCGGCGCGGCGTTCCAAATGGGAGTTATTATTAATGTTATAGTTAAATTATTAGTTTCGGTATATTTATGAGTTAAACTATTTAAAGCATCTTTAATATATACTTTTCTTGAAATAAAACATTTTTAATATTTGAAATTGTCAGTATGATTTACTAGATTTTAACGCTAAATATATAAAAAAAAGAAATTTTACCACTATTTCAAAAAAGGGATATAACACATGGTTGAAATATAGTCAAACTAATTTTCTTTTTTCGATATTTTTTACTTCCTTCAAGTACCTTGCACGTTTTCTTCACTAAAAGGGTTAATTTATGCGTTGAAAGAAGGGTAATTTCTTCAGTTTTCATAATTGTCACAGCTATCGACACCAATGTTTTTATAAATCATGATAAGCCCGCATTTATGACAGAAAATTTCAGTATTTAAGACAATTATTATGTCGGTAAAAAAAAAATGTCAGTATCTAGCAAGGAGGATTTAGAGGAACCTTTAAATAAAATTGACAAAGTAGTACTGTATGAAAATAAATAAAAGTAAAACAAAAATACTGGTATGGAAGGGAAGAAAAAGTAGGAAAAGAGCGAAATATAAAGATAGGAGACGAAAAATTATAAGAGGTGCCTGACTGACTAGTTATCCAGGAAGTCAGAATGGAAGGAGTAGTAAGGATATAAAGCAGAGAAGCGCAGGGTCGAGTCGTCTTCAATAAAAATAAGTCACTTCCATGCTCGCGTACGGTTAATTTAGAAATTCGAAAAAGGTTGTTAAAGGTGTATGTTTGGAGTGTGGCGCTCTACGGGTATGTACGAAACATGGACGTTGGGCACTTCGGAAAAGAAAAAGAAGCGTTCGACACGTGGTGTTACCGACGAATGATGAGGATACCGTGGATAGAGGAGGTTAGAAATGAAGAGATATTATAAAGAATAAGAGAACAGAGGACTCTATGGAAGTCAATAAGAAATAGGCAAGATAGGTTGGTAGGACGCCTTCTCAGGCATGAAGGTGTAGTCGGAGATATATTAGAGGCAGAAACGGGAGTTAGGAGGGGTAGAGGTAGACCTAGATTAGATTACTGTTTGCAAATAGTTAAGGATATGGGTAAGGAAAGAGTGGAGGTGCATGACCTTACGATGATGATGATCTAATTGAATGAGCAAGACCAAAACCAATATTAAGACTGGGATAGTCTTAGTCTTGCTCTCATCATTACTTTTCTGGTGAAAGGTGGAATTGGGTGCGCCTGGAACTCAAGAATATTTTTACAACGCTTTTGACACTAAGAAATCTCAAAAAGTCTTTTGACAGAGTTATAGGATTTTGGTTCATCATTGACATCATCAAATGTCTTTGGATCTTCAGCTAATCTTGTTCTAGAAAACAACACAAATGGTGCGGTAAATAAAAATTTTATTCGATTATGGTAACGTGCCTATCACGTTGAGGTTAGCTACGCCGGGATTCGTTTTAGCAACTAGATATCCATATATTTAAAATGGACCTTGTTGGAGCATACGTAATCCTGAAATGTAGCATCGTCATTTGTGGTGTTTCCTAAAACGCGCTGTGAAGACAGCAGGTAAAAGTTGGTCTTTCTCCTGTCGGAGCTGTCTGCGACGCGCTGATGAGATCCAAAAAGATCGAAATCGCGATCCGCGTCTGGCAGTTTCGACAGAATACAGACCACTTCGAATTATTTTATTTAATCTTGTTCTGTTTCTAATTATGTCTCTAGTCCTTCATGTTTGACAAGATGTCCTATCGCCCTGTCTCGCCTGTTACTTCTTCATTTCCACAGCAGATTTCGAACACAAAAGTGCTACATCATCTGATTTTCGTACAATCACCAACAAAAATTTTATATCTTTCCTTCTATCATGCATTGCAAAATATATATGTTTTCCGAATTGTCAAGGTACGTCATACTTATACAAGTTTATTTGTGCGTCAACTGCACGCCATATTAGACGCATTCGTACTTACCTTGTTAATCGGGATCGCGATAAGCGGATGGCAGTGCGGATAACGACAGTTTGCATGAACATTCCAGTTTTCCAGAAAATGTCCATAATCAATCGTAATTACATCGAGAATGTATTAATCGACGATAAGTCCTGACGATAGGAATAGATTGGTAACTATACACGATACCAGCTGCTGATGTTGCAGCAATAGCAGCCTCCGCGTCTGCATTTGTGCTTCTAAATTATGTTTACTTGGGCCGTTTCCTGCCGTGACGGACAGGGGCGGCGCGACAAGACTCGGATAAAGGCGCACGCTACATACTAATTCACGATTTGTATCGGTTCTTAGTTAAGATGTCGACCAATTATAATGTAAATAATCGTTACTGATAAAATATCGTTGTTGTACATAGGGTAGATACTGATAATAATCTGTCCATAACATAGAGACTAAAGCCGTGCAGGAAGATAAAGTCGATTGTATAATCTACTTTATTTTACAGGATATTAATATGACTATTTCTGTCTTTTACATGCAGAATGTTAAGGTAACGAGTTATCAAAACATTTTGAAATATTAAAATAATTCGAAGTGGTCTGTATTCTGTAGAAACTGCCTGACGCGGATCGCGATTTCGATCTTTTTGTATCTCATCAGCGCGTCGCAGGCAGCTCCGACAGAACACAGACCAACTTTTACCTGCTGTCTTAACAGTGCGTTTTAGAAAATACTACAAATGGCGCAGTAAACGCCATCTGTAGCACGATGCTACATTTTAGGATTACGTATGCTCCAACAAGGTCCACTTGTGTGGATATCTACTTGCTGAAAACGAATCCCGGCGTAGCCAACCTCAACGTGATAGGCACGTTAGCTTAATCGAATAAAATAATTCGAAGTGGTCTGTATTCTGTTAAATATAATATAAATAATATAAAACGCATTTTGAAATATTCTTGATCTGTGGGTTGCGTGTGGATTTTTGTAATTACTTATTACTTATTAATTAATCTTCTTCTCATTCTTTAAATTCAAATTTTTCTGTTCTCTTGTATAATACACTTTAGAATATAATAAACTAACCTTAAATTATTTATCTATGTATATGAAAATGCCATACCTTCGTGCGTCTTCATATGGGCCCTCAAGTTGCATGCAAGAGCGAATTTCTTGTTACAAAGGTCGCAAGCGTGAGGCTTATCACCTGAAACAAAAAATGTTTAAGTATAATTTTGTGCATACTATTAACAGAAATGAATAGAAGTTGTCAGTTCTAACGTAGGACAAAAAGAAAACGTAATGTATGGCGTAAAATATGAGCTTTGTACAATTAGGACATAAAATGCATCATCCGCCATTTTGGATCCAACATCCAACCAAAAGAAATGATGGCGGCAACAGCCCGTCAGTTCAGACTCAGCTGGTTTTAAAAGTGTCTCCAATTGAAACAAAAACCCAAACCGTACTCATCTATTTAATGCCATGGTATACGAGGGTGGATTGATAAGTTTCCGGCCTGACCAAGAAAAACAAGGTTTTTAAAAATTTTTTTTTTTTATTTCTCAACATAATCTCCTCCAAGGCTGATACATTTCTCATAGCGGTGTTCCAGTCTATTAATGCCATCTCTATAGACTGATTCGTCAAGCTCCTCA